TTTTTTTTTTTTTTTTTTTTTTTTTTTTTGAAATTGCGATAGGTGATTTGAGCGGGGTTGAGAACTCGTGTGGAAAAAAGAAGAGACAGAAAAGCGCGTTTTGAGTTGGCGCCCTAAAGAACATAAAATAGTGCACATTTCAGACTATGCGTTTGATGCTTCTGCGTTTTGGTGTGCTTGCCTCGATAAAAATGTTAATGATCCTAGTACTTTTTTCTCTTTTCAGCTAATTGTTCATTTATAGCACGATCTGGAAGAGTGCGATTATCATTATGCTTCTTTCTCTCAAAAACCTCTAGTTTTCTTTTTAAACGGATCGTTTGGTTTCACTCTAAGCAGATTTCTCAAACAATTAATTAAACATGGAAGTTGGCTCCCTGTACCGCCTCCGCCTGTTTGTTCTACGTGCGTTCAGTCCCGTATTTGACATAGCAAACGGGGTGAAAAATGCCGCTGTTGAGGAGAGAACTTTAAGTTGTCCGGTATTAGAAAGTTTGTAAGATTCATTTGGTGAAGAATCATTGTTACTGTTCTTTAATAAAGTCATTAGTTTTTTACCTTAGTTAAATATCTGTTCTGCGGTCGCTGATGGTAAAAAATTAAGCGTAAAAAATTTTGAGTCATATATGGTTAGCGCGATTGGAGTCGCAGGCGATAGTGAGCGCAGTGTACCTGATGTAAATAATGAAGTTTCCGCAGTATAGCTGTGTGAACAAGTATGTGCTATAGATGCTTAGTAAAGAAATAAAATTATGATTTATGGATTGGGAAGTGGAAGGGACAGCATTTTGAGGAGTATCAAGACATCAACTCGGAGAAAAAACAAATTTTTAGTTGTCTAGAGTGTCGTCCGTGGTACAAGAGTGTTTAGCTTTGTTCATCTTCACGTGTTTAAGATTTCTGAAGTTTCTGCTAGAAATAATCAAAACTTGCAGTTACAAAATGTCGCTATATCCGTTTGATACGCGGAGCCACTTTTTTGTGTCACCAATGGAGCGTATGATGACTAGAATATTTGATGATGCCCTTCGGGATTTCCAGCGATCTCCCCATAATTTGAATCCTTACTGGCTGCAGCAGCCAATGCTCAACGAAGTTAATATTGGAAATGCTGTAGGTTCGGTAAGTTTTCAGAAGCCTGTTTCTGTGAGGTTGTTGGAAGTCATAATTTGTAAAGTTTAAAATTTTAATCATGGAACGTTAGGAAGAAATAGCTTGATGCTTCGTTAAGTGTGTTATTATTTGCGTACGAGTTGTTTGTGAATTGCTGGTAGTCACTTGCCTTTTTATTTCTACGCGTTTTGTGAAGATGCGATGATGCTCATAAAATTGGTGATGGCCAAAAGCAAGGCTGAGGGAGGTTGCAACAAAAAAGTTTAGCGTTTCGGATGTCGTGAGTTGACCATTGACTGCATCGGTTGAGTGTGGCAATAAATAATTTGTCCGTAGTTCTCCAAGTGTTAGTATTTTCGTTTCCTGTTTAATTGATTAAAAGCGTGTTTCAGTTCCGTTAAAAAGTTATACGGCGCTGTGGTCATTCACTGGTTCAAGTTCTCATAGGGATAAGTAATTATGTCTGCATAATTTTCTCGCTTTTAATATGTTAGTTTTTCAAGTAGGAGAGCTGCAGTCAAAAAATCAAGTTCAGACAATTAAGTGCTTTTGTAAGAACATCACTCGGAAGGTTTTCAGTTTTGTCGGAAGTATCATTTATCAAAAATCAGACTTCTAGAAGGTTTCATGGTTTACCAACATTCTAGCATCATAATTGTTTATTTGTAAATATGTCACTACTGTTGAATATCTGCAGGCGATAAATGACAGTGAAAAGTTTGCTGTTGAAGTGGACGTTACTCAGTTTCATCCGCAAGAACTGTCGGTAAATGTTCTAGACCGTGAGCTGGTTATTGAAGGACATCACGAGGAGCGTTCGGACTCAAGTGGGCGTATTGAACGTCATTTCGTTCGCAAGTATACAATTCCTGATGATGCGAATCCGGAGACACTCACGTCACATCTCTCGGATCGTGGTATATTGACTGTAACTGCACAGAAGAAAGCCATTGAGGCAGCCAAGGGGCGAAAAATACCGATTCAAGCGGCACCTCGAGGTCAAAATCAGCAGCCGGAAAAGCCGGAGGAAAAACACTAGAATTTGTGACGGAAAGTAATAGTGATTTACAGTCACTTGGATTTTTATAGTGTTAACATATTTTTTCTGCTGTGGTTTTACTGCTTGAGGTCCAGGTTTTGTCCCGCACTTGTTTCTTCTCGTCTTTTTTCAAAGTTTTTTTGCTTTTTTGGCTTGTTCTTGACTAGATTTCATTTGTGATTTTCTGACTGTTTTTTCTAAGTACAGGTTTTTATTTTAACTTTATTTATTCTTTATTGTTGGTGTTATTAAGATAATAATTCACATAAACTGTTTGTTATCAATAACTGCGGAAACCACATTCTGTGCTTGTATTGTTGTTAATTTGCAACATATTTTTTTTTAATTGAAGTTTTATGGGGGAGATGTGCTTACTTCATTCGGGAACTGTTGTTTTTTGGGAGCTGAACATCGTCTTGGCGGAATTCTGTTGTCGTTTCGTAAGTGATATGTTTTGCACAGTGCTTAAAGCCTATACTGTTGATGAATTAGAGTGTTTTTAAGTGGTCATTTCCAACAATTATTGCTGTGCAGTAGCCTAGGTAAATCTTCGCAATTTGAGGTGGGAAGGACTGTGTTTTTTCTCTCTGGCGAGGTATGGTGGGTCGTGTTGGAGGTTTATTCTGTGGTCAGAACTTTTATCGAACAGCTCTGCCGT